ATTAAAGGAACACAAATATGTATCCCTAACTCTACATTGCCGTAGTCACCATTTGGTGACAAAAGCCAGTGCTGCCAGGATAAAAAAAAAAAAATAAATAAAAATAAAAAAAAATATTTAATTTGCTTTTTTCCCCATGCCAGTCTCTCTGCTCATGCTCTGCCTCTTTGGCTGACCTCATCATTGTTGAGCCAATCCAATGGTTTCCCATATGAAAATTAGGGAGCTGGTGCACATGCTTGAAAAATCCAGCGCTGTGCCCATCAGATGGCCTCCTGCGGTCATTGGACTAAAATAAAATTTTACAGAAACACTTCTAGTTTCGGTCTATTGGGGGGGCCACTGGAGGCAGGTTCACCCTGAAATGTAAACATTGGCCTTTCCAGAAGAACATCAGTGGGAGGGAGGGGAGTGGGGGAAACATGGCACCAAGACTACTTCATTTGGTTTTCAGAGCACCCTATCTATTATCGCTCTCCTGGCTCCATACTCAAGATTAATATCAAACCGCCTAAGTTTCATATTAATTGAGGCTCTGTACCGCCCGTCCCAGCTACAATTAAAATGCAGAACTAACTCTCTCTGCGCAGGCCATGTCAATTTAGTCCAGGGTGATCTATGACACTGATTGGCCAAGAGTGCTGGGTGTGGTCTTGGTTAATATCAAACAAATTTTAAACAGCGTTTCTTTAAGTTAATTGAAAACCGAAGTGCAATATTTAGACTAAAATGTTACATAAGTAAACATTACGCCAATTTTGCAAACGGACTATTCTGGATAAAAATATATTTAAAAAATTATTATATATTTTTGTGCTATTAAGCTTCCCACTTAACACAATTTTACGTTTAGTGAATAACCCCCTAAATCACTTTTGCTGCCCACTGAACTGCCTCTGGCTGCTAACCTTAGGTCAGTGGTCCCCAACCCAGTACTCATGGTCCACCAACTGGCCAAGAGTTATGCATTTCCCTTTTTTTTTTTCCAATTGGAGATATTGACAAAATGTGGATTGCTGGTGGTCCAAGATGACTGGGTTGTAGGCCACTATCCAAGTACATATTCTAAATCTGCATTCTGTGGACTTGATCACTAGAGGCCCTGGAAGCCAACGCTAAATGAGATGCACATGGTACACCAGTTGCCCCCCCAATTTATGTCCTAGACCTGCACACCTCTGAAGACGAACAGTGAGTAACACTTAACCCTTTAAATACAATATGCAGCTCATCTCCTGCAAAGTGGCACATGACATTTCAGTAACTGCTTTCGAGCTGGATCTTCATCAACCTACTGTTCCTGCAACATCTCTATTGTTACATTTCAACCTTTAGGATATTGTAAAGCACTACAGAATATGTCGGTGCTCCATAAATGATGATGATGATGATAATAATAATAATAATAAATGAATTTTTACAACATTCCAAAGCGACACCTGTTTCCAATGCTATACCTTTCCAGGATAGGAAACTACCCCTGGGACACCCCAAAGCTAGTTTATTGATCAGCTTTAGATACTGCAAATAAAATCTCTAACCAAAGGAACATAAAAACACTGATTACACAAGAGAATCTCAGATATACTGTATCTTAATATATACACATTGCAACAAAATAAATAAATAATAAACCCCAAACAAACCACGTCTTCAGTGAATACTCCTACGTTTCTACCTTTTACTTGTGTCACAATATTTAACAGTCCGGTCATGTTTAGATTGGGGGGGACAACATATGTACAGTTATTTCCCCATACTGAACAGGGAACAACGTCCACATCTCCTTCATGCAGTCAGGGGGAGCTACACACAATAATAAAATGTGTATTTATGAGACAGTGTCTTCAAGGGGCTCCTAATAAACCACCAGACCAAAGGTGATTTCTTCTCCCACTTACTAACCATTTTTTTTCTATTTAAAGGAATTTTCTTGTTTTGTTATTTTCTTCCCAGTTTAAGCTTTTCCAAATTTAGTAGACATTCCTTTATTTGCAGATGGCTTTCTTGAGGAGTATCCCTCACCAGCAGACGTGGGATTAGGTCCCCTTATTGCACAATGAGAAGACAAATCTAACTAACTTTTGAACTAGCTTCAGAAGTAAATTTCAATAAAACGCAACTGATAAAGAGGTTGTTACTAGTCAAAACATTGCAAATTATAGAATGGGCGGATTGATTCCTATAAAAGTTAACATCTATCTACTGGAGTAATTCTAAAGAGTGAAAATATAGGCATGAATCCAAAATCCAATGAATGGGAGAAATAGTTAACATGGCGAGGGGAACCTTCAGCTTTTCCTATGGGATCATGGGAAGGATTTTAAATATGTGCAAAGTTTCTTGTTCGCTTCTTTCATCAGAGCACCATTAACCAGCCAAATAAACAAGAATGCTAATCTGGATTAAAAAGGAAAGGATTTTCACGGTGTGCTTTATGATATAATCACCAATAACAATGAGTCCATTCTACTTTCTTCAAATGAAAGGACCATAGTTCGAGGAAACCAGTCATAGTAAAATCCACTCTGCCAGTCTGTCCAAGGTGGAGAGGCACGGCACGGCACCCCTAAACCTGGCTTACTACAGTGGATCTCGATGGAAACCACAGAAATAAGAGATGGAACAAGGGGACATGGCATTGGTTATAATAAAGCACCTCTAAATGTTTCATAAAGATAAAACCTTTATGATGATATACTCATACTGTCTACACTATAGGTTTATTGACTTTCAATGCAATTAGAAAAGAACTATAAGCAATGTAGGGACCTCTTGATGTTATAGTAGAGTCCACGGTTGCCAAAACCTGACTAAAGGAGGAACTTTAACTGTTAAAAGAACATTCCAAGCATCAAACTCAATTGTTTCCAGCAGGGGTTATGGTGCCAGGTGTGACTTGGCACGCACCAACATAAGTAGTCAAACTGTCTGCTAATGGTTTGACAACTTACCTGGGGTCTGCAACGCACCAGTCACCTCCTCCATTGAGAACCAGAATCTCCTGCATGGAACACAGGACTGGTTCATTGGCATCTTCTATGGCATTGGTTCCCTAAGAGTCCAGAATTTAGGGATTACCCAGTTGTGTGCAAGGTGTTTTAAAAAAACCAAAACAACCAACCACTTCAGATAACAGGATAATCCCTAAATCCTGGACTTCTAGGGGGTACATGAGGACCGGGGTGAGAACCCCTGTTCTAGGGCATTGTAAATGTTGGTCTATGGATATTCCCATGGTCTTGCAGGATCCTCCATGGACTTCAGTCCTGTGCTGTAGTTCACAAGAGTTATGGTGGATGATACACAAGGAAATAATGGCAAGTAGAGATGTCGCGAACTTCCCGCGAACGGCTCGCCATGGTTCGCCACGAACCGTTCGCGGCGAGCTCCGGTCAGCTGACACATCCCGGCCAATCTCCAGCAGACCCTCCCTCCCACCTCCTGGACAGCATCCATGTTGAAGCCTGCCTTCAACATGGATGCTGTCCAGGAGGTGGGAGGGAGGGTCTGCTGGAGATTGGCCGGGATGTGTCAGCTGACTGGAGCTCGCGGCGAACCGCGGCGAGCCGTTCACGGGAAGTTCGCGAACGGTTCGCGACATCACTATTGGCAACCGTGACGAAGAAATTCAGGCAAGTAAAAATATCCCACCCTCCAGCTACACCATTCACACACAAAACATGGTTGACACCTTTGGGGGTCTCTGCAAAATATGCAAAGGCCCCAAAGTTGACAGAGTCATTTTAACCACATGATTATATTACAGACCAAGCAGGCAGTTCAGGTCTGCGATGGATAGAAAGTTAGGTATAGGTCATATAAGGCGTACAGATGGTTACAGTGAGAGAATATATAAATACACTCACACACACACACACACACTGTCTGGGATTGATAAAATGTTACAGGTATACATTATACAAGGTGCAGGATCAGACCAGTCAGTCTCTCACTCGGTCACTCAGTCAGTCTCTGTGCCTGTGTGTCTCAGTCTCTCTCTCAGGGTCAGTCAGTCACAGTCAGTCTCTCTCTCAGTCAGTCAGTCAGTCACTCTCTCAGTCAGTCAGTCAGTCAGTCAGTCACTCTCTCAGTCAGTCAGTCAGTCAGTCAGTCACTCTCTCAGTCAGTCAGTCAGTCACTCTCTCAGTCAGTCAGTCTCACTCTCTCAGTCAGTCAGTCTCACTCTCTCTCAGTCAGTCAGTCTCAGTCTCTCAGTCTGTCAGTCTGTCAGTCTGTCAGTCAGTCTCTCTCTCAGTCCCAGTCAGTCTGTCAGTCTGTCAGTCAGTCTGTCAGTCTGTCAGTCAGTCTGTCAGTCAGTCAGTCCCAGTCTGTCTCTCTCTCAGTCCCAGTCTGTCTCTCTCTCAGTCCCAGTCTGTCTCTCTCTCAGTCCCAGTCAGTCTCTCTCAGTCCCAGCTCTCTGCCCTCTCAGTCCCAGTCAGCCCTCCCCAGTCCTAGTCAGTCTCTCTCAGTCCCTAGTCAGTCTCTCTCTCATGCAGTCCCAGTCAGTCTTCTCTTCTCAGTCCCAGTCTGTCTCTCTCAGTCCCAGTCTCTCTCTCTCAGTCCCAGTCTGTCTCTCTCAGTCCCAGTCTGTCTCTCTCAGTCCCAGTCTGTCTCTCTCAGTCCCAGTCTGTCTCTCTCAGTCCCAGTCTGTCTCTCTCAGTCCCAGTCTGTCTCTCTCAGTCCCAGTCTGTCTCTCTCAGTCCCAGTCTCTCTCTCAGTCTCAGTCAGTCTCTCAGTCTGTCTCTGTGTTACAATCACCGTTTGAAGTCCTTGGTCCCCATGGAGCCGGTTCAG